GAGAGAGAGAGAGAGAGGGAGAGAGAATTTCTTTAAAAACACAATTGTTAATTTGGGCATTTGGCGATAAAACACTTATAGAATTGAAGGATTTGTTACGTCAAGCGTTCAGGTATCTTAATTTTGATCTAGTTGCGCTTCTATGTCATTATGATTTATGTTGCTAAGTTAACTTTCAAAAAATTCTACGGCTGGCAACAGCACTTTTATTTTTTAAGTTGTTTATTTTTATTTATTTTAGAATTCGTTTTTTTTTTTTAGCGAAATGTTTTTTAACCTAACAGAATTCTTTGCCGACTGTTCTCTGTATATATGAAGAAAATAAAGTAAATATTTAAGTGTTGTAAAAAGAATCTTATTTAGTTGTACAAAGTACTTCTTTAAAAATGAAAACTGTTGCCACCAGCGGAAAAGAAATACAGCCAAAATTTGGGAGCCGCGTAAGAGAATTATATATATTAGATTATTTGTTGTACTTTCCGCTGGCGTTGCGTTATCAGATCAAGCTCGTTTTTAAAATTTTAATCTCCCAAAATAAACATTAGCTTTATTCAGCATCATTTGGTGCTGATGCTCTTGTTCATGGAAATTTAAGGATTGTCAAAATTTACCACTATCGAACAATTTTCCCCATTAATTTTGTACTTTAGTACATTGCTTCACTTTTTTCCCCGTAACCGCTGAGTCTACATCACCTAAGTTTATAGAAACGGTTTTCAATAGCGTAATTATTAACAAGACACAATTCAGAATCTATGAGTTTAAATGAGATATAGCTACCACTTCATTATTTGGTAGCTACTTCACCTAGTTTAGAAAACAAATTAATTATGAATATGCAATCAAATACATACCTGCCAACTCTTCCGGTTTTTCCGGAAGATTTAAATTTTGTATTTAAAGTGGCACCGAAACTCATGTCATGTCATTAAAATTTTTGAATTATAATAATAATTATAAATAAGTTTGACCACCACTACGTTTAAATAATTACAACAAATATATCAAATCATAATTGTAATAATTTTACAGAGGGGCCTCCCTGGCCGAGCGGTATCGCCGGTCCAAGCGCTCTGTTAAGCGTGGAGGTAGCGGGTTCGAATCCCGCCGTAACCCTGGATGTATTCTTTGTGATGTCTTTCTCTGAATTGTTCTATCTGTATTTTCTTCTTGACAATGACTTATAAGCCTATATTGAGCACACAAGTCAGCAAATGTATGTAATTTCAATAAATCAATCAATTACATTCAAGACTCTGCTGCACCCGCACTGAGGTAACGGGTTTGAATCCTGTTGTAATCCTGGATGAAATCTTTGAGATGACTCTCTTTAATTTGTGCTGTCATTGTGCTTATAACCCTTACTTTGAAAACTTAAGCCTGCACGGATATATATGTAACAATAAATAATAAAAACTAACTGCATTCATGTCACGGATGTGTTATATTTGTTTATTAGAAACTTAAAAATTTGAATTAAGGAAGTTATACTTGATATGACAATATATTCAAGTTACTTCTACGTAAGGAGAGTCGTGTGATTTTGGAACTGCTACAATCAAGTTGTAGATTCGTGTTCCGTAGTAACTGTAGAAATTAAGTCGGACAAATTATTAACATACGACAGCTAGAATGGAATATAATCAGTTATCAGTTTCGACGTTTTATAGGCGATCGCAACGCTCGAATAAGCTATCTGAAAAGAAGACCGGTTCCATGCCCTTGGCTTTTCCCCCTCCTCTTCTTTTCAGTTGTATAGGAACGCACTACGATATTTCTCCTTTTCCTAATAGTTTTCGTTTTTAATTAATAATAATATTTTTTAAAATTTCCGTGATGCTTTCTTATAAAACTATGTTTAATGTAGTTTTCAGTTCCATATAGTTTCCCAACTTAAAA